GTGGCTGAGGCAGGAGGATTTAGAGTTTGACATCATCCTGGGCTAGACACGGCCAGACTCTTTCAAGGTGGAGACTTGATCTGACTGTGATATCTGGTGGTGGAGAAGGTGGTGGTGGTGTCATGGCGGTGGTTAAGGTTAAGGAGATTTTAAGGGGAAGCACTAATGCCATAGGCAGATGGCTTCCTCTTGCCCCATGACGCCCCGTGCCACCTTGGGACTCTGCCTAGAGTCTCTGCCAGTGAAGAGGACCTGCAGATGTAGCTGTCTGAGCACAAATTTCCTACATTTCAGACCCCTGAGCCAAATGCTTGTTCTTTATAAACTAGTCTCTGGTATACTGGAATTGAAGTAGAAAATAGAGCAAGAGGAGCCAGAGAGAAGGCTCAGCAATTAAGAGCATTGCCTGCTCTTCCAGAGGACCTGGATTTGAGTCCCAGCTCCCAAATGTTGTCTCGCAACCATTTGAAACTCCAATTCCAGGACATCTGGCACCGTCTTCTGACCTCTTTGGGCACAAGATACACACATATATGTAGGCAAAACACCCCCATGCATAAAATTTAAAAATAATAGTAATTTTAAAATTAAGAGAAAAGAGCAAAGCAAGTCATTAAGGACAAGTGGCAGAAGGGGACAAAGAAGGGAATGGAATAATGCTGTTAGCATTGCTGCCAAGGGGTGGCGCTATCCTCCATGCCCTCACTTGTATCTTGTCAATTTTGAAGCTCTCCCTCAGAGGACCAGAAGACCCACATTTTGGGGGTATGCAAGCAAGAGCAAGCAAGCAAACAAACACCTACAGACTTTGTTAGCGTTTTCACACAGGACAACAGTGCCCACCAGTTCTTATGTCAGATGCTTTCTGAAAACTCTTAAGGTACCCATCTCTAGCTCTTGAAGAATGCTTCAAGGACCAAATATATGTGACCAAACATATTATTTTGTTCATGCCTTCTTTGGACCATTAAAAATCTCATGAACTCCAAATTGGGAATCTCTGATCATCACTGTTTTCCTTGACAGAGATAGCAATTGGGTAGCACTTTTAGGCCTTATATATTCTTTCTAGAACCAACATTGGTGTTCAGGAGAATTCTGGGAGCCTCATAGACTATATAGGTGGTAAATTAATACTATACCCTACCATCTATCTCGTATTTACCCTGTGTACACCAAATGACACAATATTCTTGTCAAGTGGTTGCACTTATAGTGACAGGGAACCCTTTGAACCCTTTTAGTTTCCCTTAACACACTCAAGTTTGTCATAGTCCTATTTAGGTTCACATAAAACTTGACATAGCCCTCTAGATTATTTTGTTATATAATACCTAAGTTCTTTCTTGCCCAGTATTTGTAGTATTTGTATGCATATATACAGAGACATGTATACATGCTAAGGAAACACCTATGGCTCTGTCCATTTACTCACTTGTCCATTCATTCTTTCAACTTCTCAGTGTAAACAAGATTTCTCAAGTGCCTGCTTTGCTCCAGGAATGTCCTAGCCATGAGGAAGGGATACAGAGACAACTAAAATGTGGTCTCTCTATGTGATTTAATCCAAGACCAGAGCTGCAGAGCTTATTTTTCTAGAATTTTCTCTAGGTTGTTTTAGCACTTTAGGGCTATGGTGCTGATCTGCTGTTGATTGATGTAATGGTACTAGCACATGTATCTTATACTCCCATTTCCAGAACTGACCTCTCTTTTTGAAAGTGAGAGTAGCCAGGATTCCTAATCTCTGTCCCCATGCCTCATCGACTGCTACTGTGAGTCAATCACCAGGTCCACGCACCCTACTGAGGCGCTCTTCTAGGCTTGTCCCTTCTGCTCCTGTCCAGAGGGAAGAAGAACTGACTTGGCATTTGGGGTTCTTCCCTGTCTCATCGCTATGGCATTTCTCCTTCACATCCTGCTCTACAATATGGTGCCTGTGGTCTTTCCAAGCTGGAGATAATGGGCTCATTTCCACAACAGTATCCCTGCTTACAGAGAAATGTCATTCTCTTTTTGGTTACAGCAGATTTTATGTACCTCACAAAATGTCTCAAACTGTGGCTGTTTATCAAAAGTTCTAGGTAGCTGGACACTGATAGATAGCATAGGTAAATTTTAGGTCTTAAAACCAAAATGCAGGGCCAGCGAGATGGCTCAATGGTAAAGGCACTTGCTGCCTAGCCTGATAACTTAATTTCAACCCCCAGGACCCACATGGAAGAACTAGAGAACCGACTACTGCACATTGTCCTCTGACTTTCACCCATGGCACATACATGCCTACACACAGATAGATACACATACATGCATGTACACACTAAATAAATAAATAAATAATGCAATAAAAGTGAATTAGAAAAACCAAAGTGCAGCCAGGCATGATGGTATCTGCCTGTCATCTCAGCACTTGTGAGGTAGAGAAAAGAGGATCAAATGTTCAAAGTCATTCTCAGCCATAAATTAAATTCAAGGAAAGCCTGGCCTATATAAAGTCCTGCCTCAAAAAACAAACAAGCAAACAAAAACCCCCAAACAGAAACAAAACAAAACAAGAAACAACCAAACCTAACAACCACCACCACCAACAAAACCACAGTTATCAGATGTAAAACTGGGTGTAGTGTTACACATCTGTAGTCTTAGCACTCAAGAGGCTGAAGCAGAAAGATCACCTGATCAAAGGACTGAGGTCAGCCTGGATGACATAGCAAAGCCCTGTCTCAAACAAACAAGCCATCAAAGTCTGATGCTCATTACTGACATGATAATCCAGGTGAGGAGATGCACCTCAGTAAAGTCAGCACTCGGGAGGCTGATGCAGAAGGATTGGGAACTTGAGGTCAGTCTAGGATATGCAGCAAGTTTCTCGGCCTGGAGTACATAGAGATATCCTGTCTCAAAAGAACATAATTGTTTTTTAGTGTAGCTGGGTCTTAATCTTGGAGAATTTTACAGATTGTGTCTCTTTTCCACAGTTTAACACACACAATGGCTCTTTGCTCTTTTTAATCCTGTTGCTTCTTCAAAGCAGACATTTCCTTGTTGGAAAACACCCTAGTTGGCCTAGACCACTGAAATGTCCACCTTGGGGATCCCACCAATCAGCATGCTGGTTAATGATCATACATGTCATGCAATAACTTGCTTTTTGCTCGGCACTAGGAATTGAACCATGAATGGGAGGTAAGCACTCTTCCACTGAACTGTATTCCCAGCCCTGTTTAGTTCTCACCACACAGTCTTATTTGGTATTTCAGGTGTGTGACTTCTCTATTGGGCACGTAAATTTGGGTGAGCTTTTATAACTCTTTTGGTTTTGCTTTTTTGTGGTGCTGGAAGGTGACAGTGTTGGGGGTGGATTCTAGGGCCTGGCACATGCTAAGAAGCACTTCACCATTGATCTATACCTCTACTACTGGTTTTGTTGCACAAGTGAGCTGGTATGTAACCAGTCTGACTCACATGTTCAATTAATTAGAAAAATAGTCGATGCCTATATGATGGGCAGGCTGAGGGAGAGCTATCCTAGATGCCAAACCTTTGCCCACCAGGCTTTCCTATTGTTTGTGTGCTTAACAAGGCTTTCATCCATTTGTTTCTAATCTCTTCTACCCCTACTTCTGGAAATTCCAGTCAAGAGTCCAGGGATTTGAAGACAAGATACCTTAAGACTGATCTGGGAGGGAGAGCTCTGAGGTATGCCTCCTTCATTCTCTGGACTAACACTATCCCACCAATTCACGTATGAACCATCTGGTTGCAAAAACAACATCTTTTTAGGGTGTTAGTTCCCAAATTGTATCATGCTGTGCTTAGGAGTTCCCTGGAAAGCTTGATACCATGCAAGGTGTCTGGCTTGGCCACAAATTTCTGCTGATTTCTATTCCTGAGCGGTTTCCAAGTGATGCTGCTGGGCAAGAGACCATGTGCTCTGAGCACTGCTTCTCTAAGGGAATGAATGTACTGACAGTTTCCCAGAGTCTTCTAGGAGGAGCCCTGGCAAGAGATGCTGGGTGTGGTCAGAACCAGTAGGATAATATCTTCTTGAAGGGAAACTGACTGGCTCAAAAATTCCTTTCCTTGCTGACTACCATTTTCACTTGCTTTTCTTTCACATTTGAAGTAGAGGTGCACCAATAGTGTCCACCCTGGGGGCTCAGAGCCCTCATCAAGTCCCTAAAGAGGGTTCCTCTATACCCAGTCCTAAAGAAATAGTAGCTTTAGTAAGAGCGTTGGTTGAGGCCTTCCTTCCTAATTCTCCAGTAAGTCATAGGATAGAAAAGAATGCTAGGTCTGGAAGGAGGCCCCTAGATAATGCTGCCACACTGGATGTTGGAGTCACCCAGTCCAAGCTGCATGAGCCTGCCATCAGGAATTCTAATGACCTGGATAGAAGGAAGCTGGCCAGCTGTTTCATGCTACTGAATGCACAAATCAATAGAATTAGACACTGGTTTATAATATAAAGACAATTTTATTGCCAATAAAAGCCTTTAATAACTCATTTTTTCCTGTTTCAGTAGGACCTTATTCTTTCTGATGAAAATCCAGTCATAGCATCTCTCATTAAAAATAAAATTATTTTGAAATAAATAAATATATAAAATAAATAGCATATACATTTCATAAATAGTTTGTCCTTATGCACAGTATCCATGCTTACATTTTAATATCATTTCCTTACAACCTACCCCATATCTCCCACTTCGGTGGCAGGAAAACTGCATGTCAGGACGAATGAGAGATCTGCAGAGCCAGGGCAGGAGTGGCTTGCAGCAGGGCTGGAGCCCCTAGGATTTTCCAAATGACACTTTCCCAAAGCTCTGTAGGTAGCATCTATGGCAGATTCCTTGGTCTTTCATTTGCACCCCATCTCAAAGTAGCTGGGTAGATTGTGAGGCAAGACAGCCTTGGCCCTTAGTGAGGGGGGCCCCTGTTCTTTGTCATGCCACCTCATGGGAAAGAACATGAGTAAAGCAAAAAGTATATACAAGATTCCCTCTGATCCACCCCTCCCCCCATGTCCCTCCCCAAAATAACCCAACCTTGATATACACTTTGAACAAGGGGACAGCTGGGTCAAGTTGAACAGTAAGTGCTTCTCTGTTATCTAATTGATAGGAAGGAAGGACTGAAAAGCTATGAGTATAGTGTTTGCAGAGCCAACCATGGCCGCAGAGTACACGGGTCACAGAGGTGGCACCAGAGGTCCATTACCTATAGCGGAAGAGGTCTCTGGACATGGAGGGCAACTTAGAAGGATCTACTGGCCTGGGTAAGAAGTGAGTGAACTTCTGGTGTCGTTTAGTCCTGTATCCCTCCCGGGGTGAGCCGTCTTTATTCAGGGCCACATAATACTGTCTTTCCGAGTCCGAGTGTTTGTACAAGGTGGAGGCATAGGTGTTGTACCAGTTTTCTTCAAATTGTTCCCGGAAAACACATTCACGCGTGAGTTTCTTCTGTGAGGGTGAGAAAATAAAGCAGAGCCCATTATATGACTATTCCGCCATCCCAGTTTGCTGGTTGGGAAAGCCTGAAATAGCAACAGCACATTGAGATTAGAAAATTTCAGTCCTGTCTCCCTGTGTGACCAAGGAGTCTTTCCTCCGTGCAGTGCAACTCTCCCACCCCCATTGTATCTTCTTCATCCTCCTTCACGAGCCACACAAAAATGTTTTGGGTGTGATCTTTCCTGAAGGGAAGGAATTTGGAGGAGCTGGCCTTGGCTGGCTCTTTAACCCCAGAATTTCTATTATGGCCTTCCAATGCCCCTCTGGCACCCACCGGGCTCATTTCCTACTTAGGGCTAATAATGTTTGACTGCACTGAGATTACAGTCACCCACATCAACTGGCAGGCAAAGGCCACGGGTCTATATAAAGCTGCATGGGAGGTGAGCTGTGATCTCTCCTAATGAGCAGTCTGTCAGCTGGAACGCTCAGAAAAGATCTCCTTGAAAAGCTCCTCCCATCTGGCTACTTAAAGCTGGCAGCTCCTGGGCTTCCTGCTTCTGGCCCTTCTCATACATGATCAGGCCGCCATACTGCTTGCTGGGGTGTCCGATACTGAGTGCTGGGGACAGGCCTATCTCCTAGGTGTCAGAGAAAAATGTGTTCTGATTTCATGGGGTGTAGCCAGCCAGAAAGGGTGTTATGTGACTCGAAAGTCCGAGCCAGGATCCTGGGATCCCCCGAAAGGGTTAAGGTCAGCAAAGTCACTTACCATGACCCACTGCTGGGCTAGCTTCCAGAACACAGAAAATGTATTGCAGCCAGCCCATTCCTAACTAGGGGATTGGGGCTGTCACCAGTCCCTAGAACCCTCATTCTTCATTTGTTGGTGTTATTTGGCCTTTGAGGTTCAGCTGAGACAATCTGGAAATCGGGGGCTGTGCTTCTTACTGGAAGACCGAATCTTTTACTGTGCTATTTTGTGGCTGCCCATCAGCTACTGCTCTGGGTACCCATTAAAACTAGGATGTGCTCTTTCGAAATGTTAATGCCCCCAAGCCTAAGCGGCTCCTGACAAACCAGCATGGCTTCCTGTTATTATAGCACTAGCGGGTCCTCTAATGGAAAAGGTGAAAGCAAGTATATCACAGAAAATTTAAGATGGAGGGCTGAACAGGTAAAGGTATTTTGGAGCAAGGCCCTGAGGAGCCAGGAACAAGAAGACACCAATCCCGTACAGTCGTAACAGGCCTTTCAAGTGCCAGGTAAACAATTTTATCCTCTGCCTTAGGTTGTCCAAACACTGGTGGTAATAGCCTCTGATAAATAGGAAAGCTGAAACTTACCGATCCATAGAGCTCTCCTCGTTCATTCATTCCTAGGTACAGGCCAGAGTCCACTCCCCGGATGCTGATCAGCCCCACAGCCAAGCTGATAAACTCCAGAATTCCTGGGACAAAAAGTAGACCATCATTCTGTTACTAACATGGAGCTAGAAGAGGCTGTTCAGGTGAAAGAACTACCCGTCATTTACCCCCAACTACAGGTAACCCTGGGTATCCATGGAGAATCATCTGATGAATCAGTCTTCTGCAGAGAAAAAGGAAAACCTCAGGGAAAGTGCCCATTCTCTCTAAGCCCCAGTTTCCCCACGTGTGAAACGGGAAACAATCCTTTCCTCCACTTAACACTGCGATTTTCTTCTTTATTTTGCGGTGCTGGGGTTGGAACTTAGGACATGCTAGGAAAAAGCTTGATCACTAGGCTCCACCCCCAGGCCCCTCAGGTATGCTAGGGTGAAGAACTCATGGAAAGGCTTGCTAACAAACGCTCCACAATTATGGCATCAGTGTAGTGGAATACCACACTCTCAAGAAACGGTAAAGCAGTGTTCTCAATGCCAAGCCACCCTCTTCCTCTCTGGCACCCACCTGCATTCCCTTGCTGTCCTCTAAGCTGAACGCATTTTTCACCCTCTCAGCTGCCATGTCCTTAAAAACCACACAAGGCTGTCAACTGCCTGTAGCTGACTCTAACAAATGCCACACAGGCCATGCACTAAGTTTGTTTCCCCTGTTTATGGCAGGAGGGAAAAGTTGGCCTGAAAACATTCTCAGTTCGTTCAGCCCCAAACTGACAAGCCTGTCAATCTCCTGCCCTCTCTTGAGAATTTAAAGTTGAGCCATGGCTGAGTTGGCAGGTAGTTTTGGACTCTAAACTGATTTGAGATGTTGTAACTTTAAGGGGAAAGGGAAGAAATTAGAAATGTCCTTTAAACTGACAAGGTTAGAGGTGAAGTTTTGAAAATTTTTTCATTTACCCCATGAGAAAAAATGAATTATTAAGGGGTAAAGGGACACAGAAACTAAATCAAAATAGTACTGAAGACAGTCAACTAGATCCTTCTTCCTCCTCTTCTTCAGTTGGTTTGGTTTGGTTTTTTTGAGACAGGGTTTCTCTGAGTAGCCCTAGCTATCCTAGAACTCACTCTGTAGACCAGGCTAGACTTGAACTCACAGAGATGCACCTGCCTCTGCCTCCACGGTGCTAGGATTAAGGGCCTGTGCCACCACTGCCCGGCTAGATTGTTCTTTGCCACTCCTTCCTCTAACCACATTTTCAGCAGAGACCAAAAACTCACACACTTGTCTGAAAGCATGCACTGAGTTCACACACTTAGCTATCTTTCATGCCAAAAGTATGATTGATTAGTAAGGGTAATATTTTGATATTCTATATGAGAAGTAGAACTTGTCCCAGAAAGATAAGATATTGGAGACTGTTGAGATGGCTCAGAGGGTAGTAAAAGTGCTTAATACTATGTCTGGAGATTCGAGTTTAATCCCCGGGCCCCATATGGTAGAAGGAGAGAACTGACTCCTGCAAGTTTTCCTCTGCCCTTCATTTGGGCTATGGTACATGCATCCCTCTATGCATCCCTCTATGCATCTCTCTATGCATCCCTCTATGCATCTCTCTCTCTCTCTCTCTCTCTCTCTCTCTCTCTCTCTCACACACACACACACACACACACACACATACACACACATGAACACAATAGATAAATAAATACATAAATGTAATAAAGTTTTTTTTTAATGAGAGAGAAAGTAATTAGCAATGTAGTCCAGGCTAACCTTCTGCCTCAATCTCCCAAGGGCTAAAGTAAAAACTTAGAAGTACTGCATTCTGCAATCAGGTTGAAAACTCCAGTGGGAAGCTTTCTCTCAAGTTCTAGTAGCTAGCCTGGCAATGGAGGTAGTCAGTCAATCATGGTAGCTTTGGGGGGGGACATATTTGGATGGCTCATTCTGATCAATTTGAAGGATCTACAGCTCTGCTACCTGTCTATGGAACACTTGAGGGTTGGTCTTTTCAAATTCTTTGAGTCTTATCCTTATTCTGACTGTTAGTAACTTTTAAAAAGTTGTTTATTATTGTTATTGTTGTGTTGCTGTGTATGATCTCCACACGTGTGGAGATCAGAGGACAGTTTGGGGGAATCACTTCTTTCTTCCTATCGTGGGTTCCAGGGATTGACCTCTAGTCCTCAGGCATGCGCAGCAAATCTGACTTCTGAGCCATCTATCTCATCAGGCTCCTGTTTCCTAGTAGCTTTTATAGCACAGTGCAGATGGTTTCAGGAGGAGAATGCCATATGCCTTAAGGAAGGAAGGGGAAGACGGTGATGATGGGGGCTAGTCAACCATTGACTTAATGAACACAGAGCTTCAACTGCTCTGAAAGAGGTTCGGCCCTTTAAACATTTTAAGGAACAACTCAAAAGAGGACACAGGAGCGCAGCTTCCCTTAGCGCCAGCAGAGACCCAGTTGGAAGGGATGAGATACTCAAGATCCAAAGAGGTTTCAGAAGGTTGGAACATGGGCTGGCTCCAACAGAATAAGCATAATTATAAGTCAATAAAAGTATTGTACCTTGGTCCCCCAAATCAGCTTCACTAGAGGTTTGTGTTTGGGGTTTTGTTAAGGGAGGGTGAGCGTCACATGCACACAGCTAACTTCACTCTTTAGCTGGTGGCCTCTTGTCATAGTTGCGTTGTTCGAGGGCTTTTCCACCATCTATCTCTCTCTTGACATCTCTGCATCATACCCCCATACACCTCCCACTTCAGAACGTAGGGCCTTGGATGTGCCAGGTAAGTAATCTGCCACTATCTACCTAGAACCTGTGTATTTTCTTGAGAGTGTGTGTACTTTTGTATTTCTGTGGTGCACTTAACACTTTTTTCTTTTCTCTCTCTCTCTCTCTCTCTCTCTCTCTCTTGGTTTTTGGTGCTGAAGATTGAACCCAGTACCCAGAATATGCAGTGTGTATTTTAATTATATATAAGTCTGCCTGTTTCTACAATGGGGGAGTGTAGCCCAGTGAAACTCAAATAGCAATGGCTTCTGGGATTTCATTGAGCAGTTAGCTCATTATGTTGGTGATTAACAGGATTATTGAAAAGCTAATGTAGGGTTGACAAGTGGCTCAGCAGGTAAAGGTACCTGCTTACAGACCTGTGCACTTGAATTCAATTCCAGGGACCCGCATGGTAGAAGGTGAGAACTTCCCCAAGCTGCTGTCCTTTTGACCTCCACACGTGCCGCTGTGGGTGGCACACATGCCTGACCCAACCACTCCACACACTCATTCATTCTCTCTCTCTCTCTCTCTCTCTCTCTCTCTCTCTCTCTCTCATACACACACACACACACACACACACACACACACACACACACACACGCACACACACACACATACTAAAGAAATAAAATATAATAATATTTTTAAAGTTAAGGTAGGGTTGGCAAGATGGCTCAGTGGATAAAAGAGATGGCTGCCTAACCTCCAACCTGAGTTTGATCCTGGGACTCAAATGACAGAAGGAAAGAACCGACTCCTGCAAGCTGTCCTCTGACCTCCATACAGGCACTGGGGCTTCTTCTTCCTCCCCAACCCTTCAATGAAAAATAAAATTTCAAAAAGCTAATATAAAACAGGTCAAACAAAAATGGATTGTTATCTGGGTGTGGAGGCATATATCTGTACTACTAATACATGAGGGCTGAGGCAGGAAGACAGGTAGTTCAAGGTCAGCCTGGGCTCCATAGGGGGACCCTGTCTGGAAAACACAAAACCAAAACAAAAGAGCAAACAAACAAAGACCAGGTAAATTGACACACACCCATAATCCCAGGAATTAGGAGGCTGAAAGATGGGGGTCCCAAGTTTGAGGCCAGCCTGGGCTACATAGTGAAACGCTGTCTTTAAATCTTTTAAATTTGTTTTTGTTTTTGAGACATGGTCTCCGGTAGTATAGGCTGGCCTTGAAATTGAACTCTATGCAGCTGAGGATGACCTGATTGATCCTGATCCTCTTGCTCCATCTCCTAGGCACTGGTATTACAGATTGTGCACCTTGATGCCTTTTTAAAATTGAAAAATATATTAAAACCTAGTATAAAATAGGAAACAAAAGTGGGGGTAGGCTGTACTCAGAGAGCGCTAGTTACTAACATGAGAGAAGGGCCTGCTCTGCCCCTCCACTCGGTCCCGACAGGATCACGCTGGGGTTCTGTGTCTGGTTCTACTGTGCCGAGAAAGGGTGTTGGAAAAAAAATTTAGAGTGGCCTATCTGGCAAGACGATCCCAAGCCATACTTTGATTCTGTTCTGGGTGCTAAACTCTGAGGGACACCAAACCGTGCTACTAACCATCTTTGCTTTGCCAAAGCAGCTCACCTCTGAGCCTCTAATCACAGCAGTTGCCCCTTTCTCGAAGTATCCCATGTCCCAGACTACCCTGAGCTCATTAAGTAGCAGAGGGAAGCCTGTGATCTCACTTCCAGAGACCTGGTGTGAGAACAAATCATGAACCCAAGAGGTGTGGCCATTTGAGTCACCAGATTTTTTTTTCCCTCCAACTCTCTGTGAACCCTGATGCCAAAGGACAGATCATACAGGATGTTGCTTGGGTTGTGTCCAGTAACAGGGGTCTCCAACAGCTGGAGTCATCCCTGCCCAGCTGTCTTTGGGCATCATTTGCCTTTGCCAACTTTCCTATTAGTTGGATTCAGACTGTGGGAACCCAGTGGCACATGATGATGGAACAGATATTTCTAAACCTTCTCCTGAATCCCAGCCAGCATGAAAGGGGAGAGAAAACAAGCCATTTTCATATTTTCCCAGCTACAGCTGGACAGGGGTGTTAACAGCAGAGCGTTGAGGCAAAGTATTAAGTAGACAAAGTTTGTCATTGGTTCTCACCCCTTCGAGGCCCAGGACCGCCAGCCCCTCTGCCTCATCTTGACCTGCCCACCTCATGCTCTGGCATTTTCTCGACAGTTTCCAGACTCTTCTTACACCTCCCTCCCCAGGGCCTCAATCAAAACGGATCTATCCTGGGCCCCACTGTTTCAGGACCTTGCTAGATGACTGGCTAATGTGTCATTTAATCTGGTTCCCTCAGCCATCCTGTCAGACCATCAGGGCCAAGACAGTGCTGCCCTGGCCCTCGGCCAAATAAGAACCAGATCGCTCAAAACCCAAAGCAGCTGCAGCAGCCTGCTCCATCCCACCTGGCAGGAGGCCTCTCCTCCAGTCTGGCTCCCCAGCCCAGCTCGGTCAGTCCACAGGTGCCCCTCAGGAATGTCAGGCTCCCTATGAAGCTCATGTAAATGCCACCAGCCAGGCTGGGACTGAAAGACTCCTGGCTACTGACTACAGATGGAGAGCAGAGAGCATGTGCAGTGCCAACAGGTTATTATTTGGAGTCGGGGCTGCACTTGGGCTCAGCCTGACTTGTTTAGAACACATGGATTCCAGGGTAATCCTTGGGGGCCCTGCTCTCCAATTACAACAAATAGCTATTTACTTTACATGGCCTTCGGAGACTCCCTCCTCCCCCCAAGCAGAAATCTATAATATTTTATATCTTAAGTCTGGCCTACTTTACCCTGCTGGAATGTTGACTGCTAAAGCACTTATGGAATGTTAAAGTTTCGATTTATTGAATACTCTGGCTGATTAACTCAAATGTGGAGGGCGGAGAGTGTGAGCAAACTCAAACACCACCTCATCCTGTGCCAAATGCTAAACCGAGTAAGAGTGTGTTTGAAAGTTGGCAGGGGAGGTTACGAAGAGACAGCTTTGACCAGTTATCATTTCCTTTACAGGAAATCCACGGATCTGCCAAGAAATCAAGGAAGGAGGAAAGGGAAAAGGTGATGTGGAGGTGGTCTCAGGAAGTTTGTTTTTTCTAAAAGGCCAAACCCAAACTGAAGCAGCCAGTTAAGCGGCAGTGCAAACATCCCCTCCTCCGCCAGCTTTACTTCCTCTGGTTTCTCCTTAAACTTAACACCCTTAGCAGGTATGGGAGATGAAAAGAAATCAAGATGTGTCTTTAGGGAGGCAATTAAAGACCACTTATCCCAAGAGCCTATTACTGATTTATGTTGACCTTGTAGATTATTGGGCTCAGCTCAGGCAGAGTCAGACAAACATAGCAGCTGGGAGCAGTGCACAAGTTCACCAATTTCATTACCCCCACCCCACATTTCACCATCATTTCAGGACTTTGCTTTTACACATATACATATAAACACACACGCACATATATGCACTTCTTTTATGTATGAACCAGTCCAATTCTTTAGGCTATTTCTGGGAGCGTCTGAGTTCGGGGTGGGAGTCCCATTCCTTAGGAAGAGGAACAAAAGGGGACTTCTAAATCACAAGTGATGGAAGGGAAAGAAGCCAAGTTAACACTCCCTCTCCTCCCACCCCACCTCATCACCCTTTTGAGGACCTGCTGCAAGTTTATACAGACACCTGCACCCCTCCATTACCCCTCCCAACCTACTGTACTCCAGCTCTCGTTGAGTGCATTTTTCCAAGATGACACAGACCTCATTAGGGTTCCTGCCTGCTCCCAGCAAGGAAGACCAACCCTGGTCCTAGTTGTTTGCTACTCTTGGCCTTAAGCTGGCCCTCCTCTGTGCCCCCTCTTCTGCTCCCCTTTTATTTTCTTTCTTTTGTTTAAAACTGAGCACTCCAGATGCAGCTCTAGAAAAGCATGTAGAATGGAAAGATAGGAAGGATGGGGGGAAAACGAAGCATGTCCCGCTTAAGGGTAGGCATAGAAAATACCCTTCTTGCATTACAAGGACCTTGGGAGGAAGCAGAGGACATTGAAAGATGGAGGAGACAAGGTAACGGTCACAGCACCTGTTTGATGGTTTAATAGAGAATAGGAAATTGAAAATAAAAATGGCAAATTGTTGAAGAGGAAACACATTTGCTAGCAAGCTAAAGATTTCTGTCGCGGATCAAGGTTTCTATTAATCGCGTAATTAGTTCTGAATGTAGGCAGGCAGCTGGGTGCTCTGAACAGTCTGTATAGTTCCGGGCAGGCGGAGGCAATCCCGCTTTGGAGATTAGACATTTCCTGTCCTGGGCTCAGGGGACACCTGTTTCAGGGGCTGGCAGTGGGCTCAGGACAGTTTCCTCACGTGGATAGGGAGTTAGTTCTAGGCAAAAGATGCCCAAGACTTGTGTCCTTCTGCGATGGGTACCGCGAGTTTTTCCTAGATTCTCAGGTAGCCGGTTTATGCCATGCTGCCTGAATTGGCTCCTACCCTGGTCTGAGCTATCCCGAGTATGGCCAGTGCCATGGCTGCAGGGTCCCGGCCAGATAAAAGTGATCCGGGTGCGAGCCGCCGGCCACCACGCCCGTGGGCCCTGAAGGTTCCTGCTCTGGGTGATCAGTTGCGATGGGCCTGCCACCCTCGAGGTTCCGCCAGCCGCAGTCCCCTTGCCTCCTAGGCTAGGATTCCCACTCCTCTCCTGGCTCCACCTGCTTCCATCAGAGGCCCGACGTTGGGGTTCTCACAAGGAGCCCCTAGGTCCCGAAGGAGGGAGGGTGG